ACCGCGTCAAATGAACATATTCGCAGAAAAAAAACAGTTTGATATTTCGGTCGTTTGTTTAAGTGAAAATGTAATTTAGGTAGATTCTTTTCAAATAGTATATTTTACTACTACACTCATCAAAAATCTAAGCAACAATGAACTTTTGACCGATTTTTAATATTGCAATTTAATTCTTTATATGAAAACAAATCACTTTTTTTGTTTTAAATCAGCCAAATATGTTTCTGAGAGCAAAAAAGTTAGTATACAAATCTACTTTGTTTATATAAAAAAAATATCACTTAATAAAACACAGTTTCTGTAAATGAGTGTTGCTTAGAATTTTTCGATGTGTGTAGTAGTTGTTTAGGTTCAGTCCATATTATTATGTTTTGGATGGGCTATTGATTCAACGGCAGAGTTCTTGCTTCTGCCACTCCTAAGGTTTTGGGTTCAAATATCGATAGAAACTTTATTTGTATGTTTTAAAAATTCGTTCTACAAACAGTGGAAGGTAAGCTTATTTTTTCACTAAAATGTGGTGTTCAATAGTGCAAGTCAATGGTGCTTTCGGTACAAGGGGGTTGTGTGATGACATAAATTTATTATTAGTAAATAATACCAATAGAATACCAACCAAAACAAATAAGTTAATAGCGACCAATAAGGTATCGTCCAATAAACACGTGAGGTTCGAAAGGGGGGAAAGCGGCGAGCCTTGACTAAATAAAAATTTAATATTTATAAATATAGTAAAGGTTAATTTCACCCACCTTTATTCGTCTGTGAAATTCTCCATTCATTTTTATCTGCGCCATTTGAACGTCTATCGAGATCTGTTGATGACATATCGACGCTGAGTGTCCGGGCAGGTGCCATGAGCAGACGTCGATCGGATATCGGTATACTTTGACAGGCTGCTCGTTTGCAGCCACTGATCGTTGCGATACGATGGAACAGAATAAATTTTTAATGCATCGTGTTGGCGGGGTGTAAAAAAAGTATCGTGGGAGCCTGACATGTTCAGCTGATGACAGTTCATCGCTCAAACGTGTTTTGATTGGTTTGGGAATTTGGCTTGGTGAACCTATTGGTTATATTGTTGTTATTTTTGACAATTCACTCTTACTTTAAATCTTTGAATAAAGTTTTCCAAAGTTCCCTTTTTAGAAAAGAGAAAATAATACTGAACATTTTTTTCTGAAATAGAGTTTATTTAGTCAATAACTATTCCTCGATGCAGCATTAATTAATGATGTCCGTTGGAACGACTGAACCAATGAACGAACCCGTATTTGCTGAACCGAATTTATTTGATGAATGGTCTACAACATGTAGTCGAGCTGTTTGAGGAATTCTGCCAAAACCGCATCATGCTCGCGCTAATAGTTTCCACAGTTAACGTATCATATTACACAAAACAAATAACCCATACTATACAGCCCGTTGCTGCTAATTAATACTGTATCGAACCTATTATTTACTATTGAAAGGAAATATAATAGCCAATAATAATTAGGAATTAGGTTTTCTTGGTACGTTTGCTAGATTGGGAAAGAAAAAAAAACCCGCCACTCGCACCGAGGGTTCCTGTAGGTATATTTCCGGTATTCGCATTTTTTCCTTTATCTGTGCTATAAAAAGTTGCTTTGTATCAAATATCAAAATTCTGAGTTCACGGAAAGTACCTTGTAGATTTTGATTCCTTTGGGAGTTTCGGAAATTTGCGGCATTAACGGTTGTATCTTTTGATTGCGTTTGCTTAAAAGTTTGATTATTTCACAGCTCCAAGGAACAGTAGACTTATTTGACATAAATTTCAGCTTGATACATCCACACGTTCCTGAGAAAAAGGGTCTCGACAGACGGGCGGACGGACGGACAACAAAGTGATCCTATAAGGCTCCCGTCTTTCCCTTACCGAACCCTAAAAACAAGTAAGTTGCCAACTTACCCACAGAATTAATATAAGTTTATCAACTTAAAGAGATAGTTTGGTTCTTTATTTTTCAATGTCCACTTATAGTGGGACTACCGGGTGCCCGCGATTTCGATTGCGTGGAAAAAATGGTTTCTCATACAAAATTCCATTCTCTTGACCTCCTTAAAAGAATGAGTTCTGGGATAATAACTATCCTATGTACCTTCCCGGGGCTTCAACTATATTAAATTTCAATGAAATCAGTAAACAGTTTAAGCGTGAGGAGGTTACAGACAGACACACTATTCTCAGTTTTAATATTAGTATGGATAAGCGCACTATTGTGTAGGAGAACTGAGTACAACAATCCCTTTATGGAACTCGTATGGCTAGCGGGGGTAGAAGGGCCATTATTTTATTTGACGTACCCAAGCTCCAACATTCGACAGATGAATAACCAATCACTAGGTTAAATTGGAATCTATTTGGTAAGCTAGGTGACGCAGGCCCCGGAACAGACAGAGATGTTCGGACTTATTTATAAGTCGATCAATGCACAAGGCCCGTTTGTCTCTCGTCATCGGCAAAATGGTTGTCTTAACTTGTATTTTCAGAAATTTTATATAGAGAGAGTTAATCAGTAGATTTTTTTTCATTTTGATATTGAATTTGAATTGATATAACGTTAGCAATTGTTAAGAAAATGTAAATAACGCAATTACTGCTTACAAATTCTCCTATTACTTTCACTGTTGATGGATCAAGATTTGCCTTCATTCAATATATTAAAGTCAGATAGGCAACTGAGCTTTTTTATACAATACACTAAAATCCTTGTAAATAAAACCATAAACTAGTTGAATATAGGAGCAGATATTTTACTTAAACAAGCTGCGCCTGCGTCAGCTAGTAGAACTTCTTCTGACATGGTAATGAAATGTATACCTATTGATGGTAGCACAACACAAGTCCCTTGAATGTGATAAGATTTCGCACGTAGGTATCTGGCCTTATGAACACGTCATTGACTGAAAATAATCAGCGTACCGACCTCGGTCCGCAAGGCAATTCTTTACAGTTTGCGATACGTTCACCTACGTTCACCTCGCTGCACTTTTACAGTTCGCGATTTATGGATCCGTACGCTACGTATACACATAGGTAGGTGAGTATAAATTTATACCGACTGGGAAGTTTATGCTGTAGGGATATTGCGCAATACCACTATTTATATACCTTTACATGTGGCATTTGTAGCAAAAAATTTAAGATAAAAAAAAACAGAATAGAACATGGATACCATTTAGTTGAAATATTGTTATTAGATTTCGACTGAATCGCCATAAAAATAGCGAAGCAGTTCATTTTAGTAGAACCTAAACTGATTCGTAATAAGAGATCGTAGTAAACCTGCATAACTTTGGTATATATATATATATACCAAAGTTATGGTAATATAATAATAATAATTTATTTTCCTTTACAATAGCCTTCTTAATAATATATCGATTGGAGTCTCCATTTAAGCAAATATTGCCTGTGTTTGGAGGCTCCGCTCTTCCTTAACTAATAATGTGTAAATCACATACAACTCTAGTATGGTTACAGTAAATGAAAAAATGAACATGCAAAAAACAATAAGAAAGAATGAACGAAAATAAAATAAAACAAAACAATAAACGGACGATCTACGCTGAAAATAATTTTAAATCACATTAAAAGGACTTAAAGCTAAGCAAAAGTATTTGCAATTAAGAAATTAATGCAGATGTTGTGTGCCATGTGTGCGTGTGTGTTTGTGTCTTTATGTGTGTATGTGTGTGTGTGATTAATTTTATACATTGTTTCATGTCATTTATAAAATACGATACAGTAGAGATTCAGTTTCTTCATACGTTCGAGGCTGAATCCATTTAATTAAAAGGCTCTTACACTCGTGATGATTTTTGTCATATATGTTTATTTCTTTATTTATTTTATTATATATGATGGCCGAACGCGAGTTAAATTGCCTACTAGCAAATGCAGTTTTAGTGACAGTCGACTTGACGATTATGTCTTTTCGCCTTTTTTCCAAGAGATGAGGCTCATAGGGTATGGATTTGTGAATTTTGAGAATGGTCGTGATTATATATAATTTCCTCACAGAGAGTAGGTCACTAATTCGGTACAAATCATTAGTAGGGAAACGTCGCTTCTTGAAGTACATGACCTTTATAAGGGTTCTTTGTGCTCTTTCTAAATCAAGAAACTGACTCTTCGCAGCGCCACCCCAAACTGGAATACAGTAAGTGATAATGGGTTGGGCCAGGGCTATGTATATTTGATTAAGGAGATTTTTAGAAGTGGTGGTGTGTTCTATTTATTCTCCTAAAATTTATTATTTTCAATGGTGTTATTGGATTCAATAAACTATGTTTCCACAAATGTAGAATGGGTTACATGAAAATCTGATTTTATACTTAGGGCTGGAATTCGATTTTTCACAAAACCTCCTACGCCAATATTAACGTTTGGAAAGTTTAGGGCGAGAGCAGCTAACAGCAATCTATTTCAGTGTGATAAATTTACGGCACCCAAAACTTTCTGTTTGACTAGTTGCGTGTTTAGCGTAATTGAGTGTTTTAACTTTAAAAGTACACTCAAATGTCGTCAATAGATACAGTTTATTGTTGACAGAGTCTTTATTACTTAATTACATAGTAACAAGAGTTCAAGTGTACTTATCCCACCTCGAATGATCCAAAGTTTTAGATTATCGATACTTACTCGTACTACGTACTTATTCTGTAATTGTATCTTTTAAATTTACATGTATGTCATAGGGCGTTAAAATAAGTCATGAATTAAATGTTTTAAAACTTGATGCACGCCATAATTTTTGTGATTGTGCCTGTTGCTTAACGAGGAGAAAAAACTCCCTACATATATGAAGTATTTTAGTACTTAAACACATCGTACCTCGTAAAAACTATCTGTAAGAACATTTTGTTTTTGAAGAACTATACAAATCAACAAGAGAGGAAATATTTGTTTGTGAACACTTATCTTTTTTTACTTTCCGAAGTTGAAGGAAAATTTATTTTGTTTGTTGCAGATTTACCCAGTACCTCTGAAAAACGACTCGACTGAACTTGTGATATTAAAAAGGGCTTCCAAACGATTTAGTATTTGTAAATACAATGACTGGATGTGAAAACAATTAGATTGTAATGAAGGCGGTGACGAATTGAATGCGTTCTGTGATGGCGTGAAGATGACCGCGCGTGAGGTGGAGCTGACGGGAGGCGCTCCCTGGGGCTTCCGCATGCACGGCGGCGCTGATCACAACCAGCCTCTCAGGATATCGAGAGTAAGTATTGAATATAAAATAATAATAATAATCAACAAAATATTATGCCAGTACGATACTACGTACGTACTTATGGAACCGAGACGTGGCCGATCACAAAGAGGGGGCTATGCTTGGAGTTTTTCTGCGTGATCGAATCAGAAATGTTGAGATCCGCAGAACTAACGTCGTCGACATAGCCTAAAGAATAAATTGCGATAAGGCTCGCATTTCTTCTCTTTGGGATTTCTTGTCGATCTTTAGTTCTTCTGCGGTGGCAGTGAGTAGGGCATATTGCAAGGAGGACTGAGTGGCGGCCGCGCATCAGGAGACGCAGATTGAAATGAATGCACCCGGTGCCGACGACGTTTGATTGTGCACTGAATTAATTGTGTTTATTTGATGTTCACGCGTTTGGTATCGCGTTGTAGTTATGTGCGTCTACGACGGTGTTTGGTAACATGAAATACACCTAACAATAAATCTTTATCTTTAAAATACAGTTCTGGCAGTTCATTTTATTTTTTGCCTCATGTTACCTCACTGGTCTTAGGTAAATATATTAAGAGAGTACCGCCGCTGCTGAACGAACCGGGAGCCGAGCGAGCGACGCGAGGATGCCATGGCAGCGGGCGGTGAAGCACAGAACATTATTATAATTTAAATAAATTTATGTGGTAGGTATCTGCTATCCATGTCGGTATCCAGCGCCGGCAACTGAATCATGGACCAGTGCTGGCAAAGGAAGCACTCTCTATTATCCAACTTTGTGATAAGTCTAGTTTTGAAAAATAAATACTACCTGATAAGGAATCTAAAATATCGGTTATATTTGCCAAAGGGAATTTATCATCTTTTATTCTGTTATTAAGTTGCCTATAATCAATAACTAATCTCCATTTCTTTTTGTTTGACCTATTTGTTTTTTTTGGAACTAAAAAAACTGGACTGGACCATTCCGAAATTGTTTCCTCTATTATATCGTTGGCTAACATATCATCAATTTGTCTTTGTACCTCTTGCTTTAGCGAATGAGGTATTCTATAGGGCTTTATATAACAAGGAGAGACATTATCCTTTAAGGATATGCTATGAGTCATAACATTGGTAGTCGATAATTTATCTCCTGGAAGATGAAAAACATCTGCGTATTTCGCACAAATATGTTCGATACTACGTCTTTCTTCCTGATTCATATTTGACAAATTCAATAACTCAAACAATAATTTTACTCTACTCACACTATTCTGTTCTTCCGAAATACAACATACGTCAAAATAATTCAAGTCATAAATAGTTATATTTTGAAAATCATATTCTACTTCATTACTTGTAGTATTTAATATTCTCACGGGAATGCGACCATTATTTGGTTTCGCAATTAATCCAGCTACGAAAACTCCTTGCTGAATCTCTTTTGATAAAACAACGCAATCGCTAGAAAATGATGTAGGAATAAACCTTATTACTTCGCACCGCGGCGGAATCAAATGTCTGTACCTAGCGTTATACGATATTTCGATAGAAACATTCATGTTATTGTTAGATAATTGTAACACACTATTTTTATAATTTATTATCGCATTATAGCGTTTTAAGAAATTATCTCCTAAAATACCATTAGCTGAGCAAGACATATTTTTAAAAACGTAAAACTTTTCTCTAAATACTATATCATTATAAACTAAATTTAAAAAAATATAACCTTCCGATTCTAATCTTCCACTTACTCCTTTAATAGTTATTCTATCATAACATAAGTATTTTAATAACTGAGGATACTTACTAAGCCATTCATACCTTAATACACAGAGACTTGCTCCACTATCGACTAAAAGATTTATTATCTCGTTACATACAAGGAAAGTTACTGTACTACTGTTATTAAAATTAAAAATAAAATTATCTGAATTAACGAAAAAAATCACTTGTCGTGTCATAATTAACATTTTGATTATTAGTACTAGTGGAGGGCAACTCGTTTTTTACGGGTGCCATCTCCTCAACGATAGTGTGGCGTATTGGTGCAGCTGATCTACGTGACCTTGTGCTATATGATCCACGTGCACGACCTTGTTGATATGTTGCACCGCGCGGTGAGCTGTAAGAGCCGCGTGGTGTATTGGGTAAGGGTTTCGTATTATAGCGATTGTAATTATTTGAATAATTACCGCGTGCTCTCATAGTGTTATTACTATTACGATGACAATAATTGCTACCACGATAAAAGGCTTTACGACGACTGACATTCATTACCTCGAATGATGAAGACAGGGACTGCTCATCCATGGCAGTTCTGATGGCTTCCGGCAAGGTCTCGAACTGTCTCGATGCTATAATAGTACTAAGTCTACGGTCATACAAACCATCTGCGAAGCGCTTGATAGCGATTCTCTCATTAATTGGTTTTAAAACTTTGTATGAATTAGGATCACCACTAGACTGAGCGATTGTTAAGTTGACAAATAAATTTTCTAATTCTGAACCAAAGGATTCGATAGATCGATTGCCTTGTTTACTCTGATGCAACTTCCATTGTAAAGCGACTTCTGATTTTTTTTGAATAAGATGTTTGCGCATGTCATTTAAAAGATTTTCAATTGTATCGTAAGTTGAACTCAGCCGTAACTGTGCGCTCGGTGAAAGTCGAGTTTTTAAAACAAATTCAATTAATTGACTTTTAGATTTGTCCGAGATCATCTTACTGTACAATTCTATACTATTTATAAGGGAATTAGTAACAGACTCTTGTCCCGTCATGACAGGCAATAAGGCTATGGCAGTTTTTAAATCAAACTCGTAATTATCACTCATTTTGACTGTTTCACTTTGTTTCTGCTCAGAAATTGATAACTCTATAATTTTATTAAAAATTTGATGAATTTCATTTATTATTTTATGGATGGAGGTTATATCACTAGTAGAAATCTATTCAGTTTCAATTTGAGAATGCAACACAGACAAAATACTCTCCAACTTTGAATACAAAACTTTTGCCTCTTTAACTTTAACTAAAAACCAAGGTCCTGTTGCCTTCCTTTAGGTCCTAATTTAACTAAATAATCTCTAAGATATACTAATGATTTATGTAGTTCATGAATTTCAAATACTACACCTGACATAATTATCTAAACTAAAAACAATAAAAACATTAAGTACGTGCTTCATAACGATAAATTGAAAATAAAAATAGTTAAAAAAAAATATATGATTACATACTTTTTAATTTGGTTGTTCAAGATACACCTTTTTACTACGATTCTTCCGAGGGACTGGGGCAGGCGAGCTGGTTGCAGTGGTGCTGATACGGTGATATGACTGGCTGCCGATGACCGATGATGACAGACGTTTTGGCTGGGCTGAATCCTGGACTCCTCTTGTTAAACTTCTTAGACTGCGCTGGTAGTGAGGTCAGCTCGTGAGATGGTGGCTATGTTGTTCCTGTTGAGCTCTCGTTGTATGGTGCGAACAAAATGTTTATTGCATTTCTTGAAAATGTAATAAATTGCAGCAAACAGGATTATGCAGACGGTCGCTCCGATCAAAATTTCTAGGATAGCCAATTTTTCGCTCTGGGATTGGGATGCTGTTGCCGAAGCTGCTCCATTTGCGTTTTGAGCTATCACAACTTGTTCTTTGGATGCCGATTTTCCCATTATCTGTTTCTTCTGTAATCTCTTGTAGTCTTAATTCTTCTGAAGTTTATCTTGTATTCTTGATGATTATAAGGGGAGTACTTATCAGAAGGTGGCAGAGTGACGGGGGTGCATCACTGGATTATTGTGACATTGTAGTTTATTCTAAACTGTGGGCCAGTCCTGCCTAGCATCCTTTACGAACGCTAGCGGGACATGATAATAAGGTGCGTATGTAGGGGGTGGCACAGCTACGAGGGTGCAGCACTGGAATATTGTGACATTACACGAAATCTGGATATTTGTGACGTTATACCGAGCTGTGGACCAGGAACGCCTGTCATCTGCTGTAAACTTAAGCTAGACATGATAACAAGGTCAGTACTTAACAGGGGGTGACAGAGCGACGGGGGTGCAACCCCAAATTATTGTGGCATTATACCAACACTGGATTATTCGCATATTATACTAAACTGTGGTTAAGTCCAGGGGGGTGGCAGAGCGACGGGGCTGCATTACTGGATTATTTTGACATTGTAGTTATATGATTATTATAAACTGTGGGCCAGTCCTGCCTAGCAATCTTTACGAACACTAGCTGACCGAACTGAAAAAAATGTGTAAATGTGATAGTAAAACCGTAAGAAAAAATCCGTGGAAAAAAGTGCGTGGAATAAAACCGTTAAATGAGACGTGCGCAGGCGCGACGAAGTTCCTTACGGCAGGCTTGGAGGGGATAGGGATTTTGCTGCGCGACCGAACTGAAAAAAATGTGATAGTAAAACCGTAAGAAAAAATCCGTGGAAAAAGTGCGTGGAATAAAACCGATAAATGAGACGTGCGCTGGTGCGATAGTCGCATACACAAGCGAGTTCGCAATTTGTGTCGATTCTACATTAGCCGAAGGAACTTCGTTCCTACCTGGTGTCCCACGACACCACATCATTCTTTTTATTTTAAGAAGTTCGGGTAGTTCCAAAAGACAAGATGTCAATCTACCCCCATTCAACAGTGCTCCCCCCTCAAGCCAAAATACGTCACCTGCTCGCTGGTCGCTCACTGGGCCTCCCTCTCCCTCCGATTCTGTCGGCCTAGGCACGTCTTAGAGTACCCCGACGACGAAATCACCCGCGCCAACGCGCCTCAGACTCCTCCCACACAGGCCATAAACACCAACACTACACAGCTAGCAGACTTGCACACTAGCTTAGCATTAGGCAGACACTGCACCCGTAGGATAAGAGTGGGAAGACCCGGTCTACACACGACACGCTATACCAGGTACAGGTACGTACCTGGGCCTTTTTCCCCGCTCTCCCACGACAACGGCTAAATAGAGTCGAGGTCCGTGTCTCAGAGACGCCCTCTAGTTGAGCTGACCCCCTC